ATAAGAGAATGGACCTAGAGCCCAACTTTGTACTCTCACCTGGGTGAGGGGAGAACTAAGTGATTGTAGCAGTTCTGTGTCTGAATAGAACAGAAGCACGCCCTAGAAGAAACAGCAGCAAGCTAGGAAAACCTTCCAGTTATATTTGGGAAATAAAAATATAGTCTAGAGATGACCCATGCTAAAAGAAAATGTCAAGAAGAGTGAGCAGGCAGAGAGCAGGAGGGCTGTGTGGTATAGCAGATGTCTATGTGTCTGGTATAGCAGATGGTGAAAATCAAAGGAAGATGACAGGATCTCATACATGGGCTTGTTTCGGGTGCCCAGCCTTTTGACATCCCAGCATGATATTGTTATTCTACAAATGTGTTGGTCCATTTTTATAGCCATCCTGGAACATACGTGGACCAGTGGCCTCAGTTGTGTATGTTGGATTAGAGTATGTCAGGAGGTTTGCTAAAACAGGAATGCATTTCAGGAGAGCAAGTTTGAAGATGGGGTAAGAACTGAAACCGGAAGGAGAAACAGGTCCTGCGTCCTGGGACCAGAGGCTTGACTAAGTCAGATGGTCCCTCCTTGATGCAGGCTGAAGGAGAGCCTTCTAATGGAATTGTGATTTTGGAAACCTCCTAGAGGGTGTCTTTGACTTTTTTGCATCATTGTGATTTAACTGCTTCACACAAATTCATCATCAATTAAGTTAAAAAAGCTGGCCTGATTGCCATGCCTCACCCAAAGAAAACATTCAAGGAGATCTGTGAAATGTTGTCCTCTGGACATGACATGGCTCTTGCATACATGAACTCACAACACTTGTAGTTATTGGCACAAGATCAAGCCAGTTAAAAATTCCAGCATGGAATGGCAGGGGCTCCTGATGCCCATACCTCACCAAGGGGATATTGTAGTTGATGGCGACTGAGGGGAAGTCATTTTCTTTTTGGGGTGGCAACTTGTAGGCTGTTAATGCCCAGTGGATGACTCCCACACCATGCATGTATGGGCAGTACTAATTGGACTCAATAGGTTAAAAAAAATGAAGAAGGCACTGGAGAGATGGCTCAGTGGTTAAGAACACTGGCCGTTTTTGAATAAGACCTTGGTTTAAATCCCAGCACCCACATGGTGGCTAACAACCATCTGTAACTCCAGGTCCAGGGCATACATGCCCTCTTCTAACCTCTATGGGCACTACACGACACAGGTGCACTTACACACATGCAGGCATAACACTCATACACATAATATAAAAACTAATAATTTTTTAATGAAGGAAAAAGAAAACGTACATGAAGTTGGAAGGTAGATGTGTTGGGGTGCCCCTGGGAGAATTGGAGGGAGGGAGCCAGGGGTGGACATAAGCAGGATACATTATGTTGGCTGGGTGTGGGTCCAGGTCTCGCTGCTGGGCGGGTCTCTGGCTCTCCACGGCTGCCAGGTGCTGGGAGCTACAGATCGGAGTCCGCGGCGGTGGGGAGTGCAGGCTCTGCACCAAGACAGGCTGCCGGGTGCTGGCTGCTCTGCGGGTCGCTGCAAGCTGCTGGGTGGTCTGCGCCAATCTGCAGGGGGCTCAGGCTAGCTGCGGGATGCTCCCCCTGTGCCCGCGGTCATTGGCCACCGAACCACGAGGGCGGGGGAGTGCAGGAACGGAGAAGGCAGAATCGGGCGGGTGGGTGTTGACGGAACTCCTCCAGGAAGACTGCTCACAGGCTGGTCCCAGGCGCAGTGAAACACAGGATACAGCTCCGTTAGACTCAGTGATACAGCTCCGTTAGACTCAGTGATACAGCTCGGGTTTATTAGGGTGAAAACTAGAAGATATATAGTGTGGAGGCAGTAGCAAAAGCCTCAGCTGATAGGTGCTCTGTAGTATGCTTCATTTGCATGTGGCGGTGGGTTTCTATCAATCAGGCTGTCAGACAATGCCTGATTATCATATAGAAAAAAACCCGGTAGTTTCTATGCCAGAGGTCATGTTTCAGGTAAGGCATCTGTGATGGGCACTTCAAAGGTGAGCCAGGAAGAGAGTAGGAGGCGCCCCGCTGAAAAGGGGAGTCTCTCCATCAAATGCCGAGCCCCTTAGGCTATCCGAACATGGAGAAACTGCGACCCTAACAGCAGGGTTCCCCAACAACATTATATAGGGGTTGGATTTAGCTCAGTGGTATAGCACTTGTCTAACAAAAAACGGCCCTGGGTTCTGGTCACAAGCTCTGTGGAAAGAAAAAAAAAATCTCAAAAGACCAAAAACAAAATAAAATGAAAAGCAAGGCAGCAAGATACATTGTATACAGGTGTGCATGTGTGAATCTTTCAAAGAAAGTTAACAATAAACAGTTATAATTAAAGCTCAAATAAAACATAGGTAGCCCATGTCTTCCCATTGTTAAAACTAAAGAACTAAGATTTCAAATTGTTCTAAAGTAAGAAAATAAACATCAGAATCTACACATGTATTGTCACAAGCTTGTGTTACCAGGGGGTGGCAGAGGAAGGCCTGAGAGGAAATCACAGCCAGAATGAGAAAACCCAGGTTCCTAGGGTCAGCAGTGGCCACAGGTTGGGGAAGGGCTACTATTCTGGCTGAGGAGCAAGTCACAAACCTGCTGACCCAGCACTGTCTCAGAAGGGTGATGTGTCTGGGGAGAAGGAAGTGAAGGGGAGATGTAGCTTAGAGATGTGGTTGTAAAAGGGAAAGGGAAAGAGGCCAGATAACAAAATGCTGTGGAAATAAAGGCAAATGAAAGACTAGTCTCCATCTATCACTGTCTACTATCAAGAGGCCAAAATAAGGGTAGCAGGGAGGGTCCAAGAATCTCTGGAGTGTGGAGAGATGGCTCAGTGAAGTGCCTGCCACGGAAGCATGGGACCTGAGTTAGGACTCCAGCACCCACATAAAAAGTCCAGCTGGCAGTATGCCCCTGTAATCCCAGCTCTGTGGGGGCAGGAGGAGACAGGATCCCTGGGGCTTCGTGCCTAGCAGCCTAACTGAATTAAATAGTAAGTTGCAAAATGGCTGAGGATGAGATGCCCTGATGTCAACTTCTGTCCTTTGCCTTTATAAACACATACATGTTCACATGCACATACTCAAATTAATTAATAAAAGAATCCTGAGAAAAGGTAAAGTCAAAGGGAAGTCATGATTGTATATGTAATTATGAGAGAAGGCAAAGGCTATTATTTCAATGAGACATTAAGGGAAAGAGAAATGGGGAGTGAACTCTATTAAAAACAAAACCTGTAAGATACAGGCAGGCCTAGGGTAGGAGAGAGAGGAAGCCTCACTGTATATGTGTCCCTCGGTGTATCTTCGTCTTATGGAATAATGCTTATATTTAACACCTTGAGAACAATAAAATTAAATCATAATGTGGAGAAATTAGAACTGAATGCTGTCAGAAACAAATGCAGTGAATTCCATAACCACCACTGAAGGTGGGTGGAGAACCAACCTGGTCACCTTTGAGCAGGGAATTTTTATTTTATGCCTTCATTCTAAAGAAAGAACATATACTCAGGTCTCCTTAGCACTGTTTTTCATAGTGTCACGGTTATGTGTGTGCTGTGGAGGTAGAACGAACCAGTAAATACGGTACTGTTGGGAGCCTAGGTTCTCATTGTACAGAAAGGATAATCCAGATATGAAAAGAAATGGAGAGAACAGAGACAACTCAGAGGTTCCTGAATCCCTGATGGCCCACCCCAGGGTGGATGACAGCTCCTGAGAGCTGGAGCACCGTAGCTCTTTGCATGACCTGCAGGAAGCTCAGCAAGTCTCTCCCAGGCAGCTTGGCTGGTCTGAGTCTCCTCAGTAGTCCTTAATGCTTATAGAATCTTGGGGATGGAGCTTTGTGCATCTGGAAGTGAGCTGTTTACTTCCTGAGTCTTAAGGAGACTCCCTTTAGAATTTTCTGTCCCACAATGAGAGAGCATCTCTCAAGGCACCATTTCTGGATCCTTGTAACCTAACATGCACTAGGTTTTGCATTGATTACATTTTCCTTTCTTCCTATTCCACATAGTAGCCTAGTAACTGTCTGTAATAGTGTTGATTTTCAACTTGACAGACTCTAGAATCATCCAGGAAACAAGTCTCTAAAGGGCTATGCCTGTAGGGGAGTATTTTAATGACATTAATTGATACAGGGAGGCCATCTTGACTGTGGGCAGTGCATCCTGGACTGTGTAAAATGGAGAAAGTAAAATGAGCATGAGCATCCATTGCTCTGATTCTTAACTGTGGATGCCATGTGACTAGCTTCTTTAAGCCCCTGCTGCCTTGACTTCTCCTCCATGATGAATTGCCCCTTGAACTATGGATGAAAAAAAAAAAAAAAAACCCTTTCTCCCTTAAGTTGCAATTGTCAGCCTATTTTATCACAACAGGAAAAGAAACCAAGACACTGTATTCAGTCCTCCCAGGAGCCCACAGCTCCAGGAGCATGAAAGCTATAATTAAAGGAAGCAAGGTGGGAAGAGATGCTTCAGAACTATTCAAGCTGTGCCTTTCTCCTTGTCTTATGTTTAGAAGTCATTGGTTAGCAACAAGAATAACATGTTTAGTTTGTCTTTGGAGCTATGTGTTCGTGAATTTATGTGAGATTCTTATCAGTGGCCTCAACAAGTATTAGATGGTGAGACCATGACGGTCTTAATGTAGTGGATTTAAGCATTTCTTACATTTACATTTCATAGAGTAAAAGATAAATACTGTCATCTTTCTATGGAATGCTCTCTCACAGAGCCCTCATTTGATTTTCTACCTGTTCAGAATATCAAGTTTTGCATTTCTTAAAATCATAATGTATGAGCAAGCCGGTAAGACAGAAGTCATCCCTGAGATACTTATAATAGCACTTAGAGCAAACTTGTCAAAGGTACTTCCAAGAGATTATCTGGGGTCCTGAGGAGATATATTTAGCAACGGTATTGAATGAGTTGTCACATAACACAACATTTCATTGATTTGTGGGTGTTATTTCTGTATCTTACTGCAGGCGGAGAATTCAGCTTTGGCTTTGGAAAATGAAAATCAAAGAGAACAGTATGAGCGATGTCTGGACGAGGTAAGGCTAGGTGAGAGGACTGGGGAAGAGGTTCAGCTTGTAAGGATCTTCTTCACATCCCAGGGCATTGGAGTGCTGTGCTCCACAGAACTTCAGTGTTCTTCTTAAAAACTGAAGGTGTAAACAGATGTCTCCTGAGAATTATTAGGCAGGCATGCAGCTCTCTCTCTCTCTCTCTCTCTCTCTCTCTCTGTCTCTCTCTCCCTCTCTCCCTCCCTCCCTCTCCATATGTGTATCTTCTCTCTCTCTCCCTCTCCCTCTCTCTCCCTCTCTCCCTCCTTCTCCATGTATCTTCTCTCTCTCTCCCTCTCTCCATCCCTCTCCATGTATCTTCTCTCTCCCTCTCCCTCTCTCTCTCCCTCTCTCTCACTACCTCCCTCTCCATGTGTATATCTTCTCCCTCTCTTCCTTCCTCCCTCCCTCCCTCCCTCCTTCTCCATGTGTGTATCTTCTCTCTCTCCTCTCTCTCCCTGCCACCCTCCCTCCCTCCCTCCCCCCCTCTCCATGTGTGTATCTTATCTCTCCCCCTCCATCCCTCCCTCCCTCTCCATGTGTGTATCTTCTCTCTCTCCCTCTCTCCCTCTCCCTCTCTCACTCCCTCCCTCTCCATGTGTGTATCTTCTCTCTCTCCCTCTCCCTCTCTCCCTCTCCCTCTCTCTCCCTCTCTCCCTCCCTCCCTCTCCATGTGTGTATCTTTCTCTCTCCCTCTCTCCCTCCCTCCCTCTCCATGTGTGTATCCTCTCTCTCTCCCTCTCTCCCCCTTCCCCCTCTCTCCCTCCTTCTCTTACTTCCCTCTGTTCTCTGCCCCTCTCTCTACTATTCCTCTCTCACATCGCTCTCTCCTATCCTTCACTTTCCCCCTGCCAACCAACCCCCTTTGTTTTCTCCCTCCATCTCTCTCTCCCTCTTTCCCATCCCTGCCCCTCCCCTGTAGGGCTCAAAGGACATCTGTAATTCCTCTGGATTATTTAGTGTCTTTCACATTTTGGGTGTGCATCACCATTTGAGAAATTCCTTCTGTCCAGGAAGTGTGATCTTGGGCCCTGAATAGGGGGAAAAAGCATATCAGGGGCACCTGCATATACAATTGGATGCATTCTCTGAGAAGCAAATCCTTGATGGCGAATCCCTGATAGGATAGGTGGGACAGTGTTCATAGTTGGTCGCCTGAGGGGAAAAATCAGCAAGTTTAGCACAAACCAAAAGAGAAAGGAAAGTCGGGGGAAAAATTTGAGTGGATCGGAAGACAATCAGGCCCCTAGCAGGAGTAAACTTGATACATATTATCCGATAATGATGGTGAGATGAGGGCAGAGATGGCGGTCATTGGAGTGTCTGAGAGGAGAGGGCTAATGCCTGCTCAGAGCTCTCATCCTTCTTCAACATCACCTCACACTGTGAGGCACAGGGAACATCCACATTGTGTCATCCTGCCATGATTAGCCATTGACCACACTGAATTCTCCTTGGGGACTCTACCATGCTGGAGTCATTATTTAAATAGATGACTTTTTAAATATCTGCCCAATGCCCTAAAACTCTCACACATTCTGGGAGGTTCTGTTGGAGATTTGTTAGTGTGTAGTTGAACAGATTTTAGAAAAACTGCACTTAATCTTATTCCATTGTTTTACTTGTAGGAATGACCAATATATTTTCAGATTTTTTTCACCTTGCTATCAGTTTAAACAATGTTTTCCCCATGAAGTCCTCTTTGTATCGCTTATCCTTTCCACCTAGTCCATTCCCTCTCCTCTCACACTGTCCCAGAAGCTGATATATTGGGCCATGAAGTACACAGGCCAGAATCCCAGCTATAACCCATTCTACCACCTTCTTCCTCTCTTGTCCTTCATATTGATGTGCTCTCCATCTTCTAAGTATGGATGTATTGGGAATTTGCATATGCCCACACCACTAGTTCTGTCTAGGCTGGACTTCAGTGTTTTTGCTACTAGAATTCACCATGTAACCATGTGACCTTGAACTCCTGATCCCCCTGTGCCTACACCTCCCAAATGCTGGGATTACAAGCAGGTGCCACCATGTCTGGATTATAAGGTTCTGGGATCAAACCTATGGCCTTATGCATGCTAGATAAGTACTCTATAAACTTGGTCTATAGTCCTAACTCCCCACAAGTAGTAATTAAAAGCCTAGTGCTCTGAAGCATTATTCTCCCCTGGGAGGCTTGTGAGGAATTCAGACTCTTAGGACCCATGTGTAACCTGCAAAATCCCAGGCTCACTCAGAGTCAGCTATTTGTGCCAGGAGGTTCTCCAGCAGATGTCCATATACATTGCTCATGCAATCCTGTACTCATAGCTCAGATCCCTCAGCACTTTGCACTTGATACTTATATGTTGTTGGAGAACTCTTAAAATGTACCTAAAATTTATTAATATTCAGTATTTCATTTGTAAATATTTCTAGCCATTTACATTGGTTACTCAAGCAAAATGTTATTTACAGTCTTCTGCCCTACTGAGACTCAAAAACACAAGAATGTGGCTTGATAGATAGCTTAGTCAATAAAGTACACATACTGACCTGAGTTTAACCCCCAGAACCCATACAAAAACCAAGCATGGTGGTAGGTTTGTAGTCTCAGCACTGGGAAGACAGAGACAGATGGATCCCTAGGGCCAAGTGTAGTCTACTTGGTCAGTTCCAGGACAAGAGGCCCTGACTCAAAAAATGAGGTGGGCAGTGACACCTGACACTGAGGTTGACTTCTGACCTCCACACAATGATTGCATGTACACTCACACACAGACACAGACAGACAGACAGACAGACAGACACAGAGACACAGGGAGAGACAGAGACAGAGACAAAGAGAACAGGAATGATCATTTCAGCATCCAAAGGAAAAAAATTGGAGAAGTTAGTTGACATAAAAGCTGGCAAACAGACTCAAGATCTGATGAGGCCAGTTCAGCTTTCCTCACCTCTGATCCCCAGGCTCTTGGTCCAATCAAAGTCTAGGGCAAAAACGACCAAATAATCCAAGGCTGTTTAAAGGAACCAATAATGCTCTTGGGCCATAGGTATTGATCAGATCTGTTTCACTTTCGCCTCTGCACAGAAATATCCAACAAGACATTATCTGTATTCAGCAGTCAAATTCATGTGGCTCACACCACAGAGCATCACAACTTTCACACGGATGAAAGGTCATCTCTTCCCGTGCACTGAAAAGCTCACAGCATTCCTGTAACCATAATCTGACCAATGGAGATGTGGCAGTCACTTCGGTGCAAACATGAGGACCTGAGTTTCATGCTTAGAAACCATGTAAAATGCTAGGCACAGGAGCACAAGCCTATTATCTCAATGCTGTGGAGATAAATAGGAGGATCCCCAGGGCTTACTGGCCAGCCACTTTTGCCAAATCTGTGAGCTCCAGGTTCAGTGGGAGAAACTGTCTCAAAAAATTAAGTTGGAGTTCATATGTGTAACTGACCAGCTGATTAGAAAACTTTTCTTTGACATAGATAGATAGATGATAGATAGATAGATATAAAACATATGTATATATATATGCATAATAAAGTACATTAAATTAGATGGGGGTAGTAAGGGGAGGTAGAGATAGGGAAAGGAATCTCAAAATACCATCAAATTGTATGAAAATCACAAAAATTCAATAGAAAATGAAAAGAATAATAATAAAATTTAACTTGGACAAGTGATTGAGGAAGACACCCGATGCCAATCCCTGGCTTCCAGATGCACATGAAAACATGCACATGCACCCTCACCCACAAGCACACACATGTGCACAAAGCTAAACCATCCTCTGTTCCCCACGTATTCTCAAGTGCTTTCTGTGTGGGTTTCTACACACAATTTTCTTCCTCGAAATCATTTCCTGCAGTTTCTACTGAAGGCAGGATTTTTGGAGGGAGAGTCCCTCTGTTCCTAATTGCAGAAATTAGCAGTTGCCAGAGAGGTGATTTACAACAAAGAGCCACCTCTGAGCTACACAAATGTTTTGTATTCATGAATATCGGCCGCTGATTACACATGCCAGTTGTTCTGTAACTAATTGCACAAGGTAGACCATCTATTTCCAAGCTTTGTAAGAGAAAGCTCTCGGAGGGGTAGTTCCATGCAGTAATAATGCCAAGTGGAAATTCTTTCCGAGGCTTTTTATACTAATTAGCCTAACTAACAAGGTAAGGCCTTATGTAAGTTATTTCCTGGCTAGTAAGTTTCATAAACATACTTGGGTGGGTAATGCATGAATTTAAAGATGCTTCAATCCTTTTTGTCCTGTTGGTTGTTTTCTGGGAAGTGGAAAATGTTGAGGATTTAAGGGAAACAATTGGGAATCTGAAATTCTGTCTGGGTTTTGCTAAATGTGAGTGTTTACTAGAAGCAAGCAGAGCTTGTGCATAGATAGGTATGTATACCTTCTCACACACCTTAGTGGCGTGCATGTGCACACACACACACACACACACACACACACACACACTGACACCCTGACTTATTAGGCACACACACAAACCCATGCACATAAATACATAGGTATACACACACAGACACACACACACACACACACACACACACACACAAAATCTTGCTTCTTTGTAGTACAAAGGCAACATCAAGGATTACCCTCATTTTTCCCTGAGAGTGTTTGTGCTTGAATCTGTAGTTTCTTAGTCTAAACTGTCTGACAGACAGTTTACTGCCAACTGCTGAATTGTTATTTATTCATAGTATTGCCTTAGTCACAATTCCTTCCAGACCAACTATTCCACATACAGAGGTATAATGGCTTATAAAAGTAAATTCAATAACATCCCCTGAAATCTCTGCATTGCCTTCAGATGGATTCAATGGTAACATACACACTTTTGCTGTGTATCACCTCATACAAGCCCCAGGAGCCCATGGTAACTCCAGACTGTCAGAAGAGAGGGGGTTGGAAGATCACAGAGTAAGGACTGAAAGAAGCTCCTGGGTGCACTGAGCACTTGAGGGACAGA